CCCAAGAAGCCAGAATGCAGAGGCAGGTAAGTGGAGCAGAGGCAGAAGAGCTCAAACCAAAGGACTAGGTCACTCTTAAGAGCAAGCCTCAATACTAATTAAAAAAAGGAGAGACTTTGTAAGGACCCCAAGGAGATCGCGTAGTTTGCTTCAACCCCAGAAGTCAATGAATGCTCAGGCTTCAAGAAAGCCCATAAAAGACCTGCCCTGAAAGGACACAACAGGGAGAGGAAGTTTAGTTTATGAAGCCTGTATTATTTCTGTTCAATCTCACTTCAAGTTTTTGCTAGATTAAGAAGTTCACCATTCTAATTCCGGTTTAAATAAAATCTTATTCTTTAGTTTAAAAGCCCTCTTACAGTCATTTTCAAATAAGGAAAGGTCTAGGCATATGAGACTCGCATCTGGGTGCTTGAGAGTGCCATCACAGGCTTCCACGTGAGCTACCTGAAGCTGAAACACATTTGCACTTTTTGCTTGAAAACAAGTCCCAAACATCAACGTCTACCCTTCTCCCCCAGGCTTCTTTTGAGAATCAACTTTCCTTAATCTCCAGGTTTTATGTTTCCCTGGCATGCTGAAAATCCACAGTACAAGAGAGCCGGTCAACAACAGTAAATATGAAAACCTTTGGTGGGCACTGAAATACAAGCCCTAACGCTGCTCATGTCTGATCCATTACAGCTACAATTAAGATTCAGTTTTTGCTCAGTTTTGGGCCAAAGATTAGGCAGAAAGGGAGGTACTCATTTAGCAAATTCTCCATAAAAGCCTCTTGTTTTCATTAGCCAAGATGCTTATTCCTTTAGCTATAAATTTTTCTCGGTGCTAGTCCTGTCACCTCATGTTTTTTTAATATGCACTGCATATTAAACTGAAAAAACACCAACCTCTGCCCATCAAGCAATAGCCAGTGGGGTTTCATTGCCTATCAACAACTGTATAAAGACCTTAAGTCCTGCCATTTACAGCTTGCTTTTACATTTTACAAAATTATACCTTTATGAAATTACATTTATGTCATATTTTTACTATTATTGGAAAACTGCAAATCTATCCAGGTTAGTTAGCTCACAGCCATCCTTCCTGCTTCTGTCAGTTGCCATTTCTAGTTTCAGTAACATTAGTTTTTCAGTATTATCAGTGCTATCATTCTGTGTTTCGCTTCAAATAAAGAACGTTTGACATACTGCAAATACAAATAACTTTCTTGAAAACAAATACCAGATAGAGATGACTAGAAAAACCTATTTAAATAGCAATTGCTGACCGTAGAATAGTGTTATGCACTAGGCTAAACAAAAAACTCCTGGTGCGATGGGGTTACAAAATATGCACAGTGAGAAAAAAAAAAAAAAATCAGCAATTCAGTAAGTAACAGCTATCAAAATACCCATTGTAAAAACTATAAAAATAGTGCTTTTAATGAAGGCATGCCTCAAGTCAAATAACCCCAAAAATTGTTATAAAGGAAAACCATCCTTTCCTTTCCTCAGAACCCGATAATACACACAGTTTGCATTGCAAATTGAGATGCCTATGGATTTCAAAGCATTTTTAAAATCCAGGTATGAAAACTAAGATGGGGGGAGGGGGGTGTTGGGTTTTTTGTTGTTTTTTTTTTTATATTATTGAGCAGGAAGGATCACTCAGTGATTGGCACACCAGATTTAATATCCCCAAATACATCTAATCAGAAATTCAACAAATACACACTGAAAAAGTGTTTTCAATTTCCAACACATTTTCATAAAGTTTCATTTACTGTTCTGAATTGAAAAAAAATGAGCACTGAATACCTGAAAGGCAGACTGATTTAAGTTTCTATACAGCACTCATCACTGTTCAAATAGGACTCATTAAAAAGGTCACTTTCCCAAAAGGTTTCCCTCTTGATTTCCAAACCAGCAACAGAAACTGGAATTGCTTTTCTACTATGAACCACTACATCTCATGAGATGTCATTACCAATCAATTATTCTCCTTTGAATTTAACTTTCATTCACAATAACAGTAAGAACTATATTCATTTACATAAAGAGAAGAATCCATTAGCTTAAATGCAGATTTTGAATTTCTTGTGGGTTTTGCCACCTCAGAGGAATTCCCAAACTCCCAAAGCTTTAATCATGAAAGCTTTCAAGAATTTGCTTTTTGTTTCTCGG